TGGACAACTCTCCACATCCTGACTGTTCTTTCGGTTAACACATTATAGCGAGAGTCGACAGGATCTCACACCATATATTAAGTCGACTGGATACCTCACCATAGTTTAAGTCGACAGGATCTCACATCACAGTTCAAGTCGACAGGATTCGACATATATCTATCATATGTGTTCATAAATTATTAGAGATATTTGGCGAGCCACACATGTAGTAAATAATATACTCTTTTTTTCCTTGAAATTCACCAGAATATATATGTACATTAAAAACTCAAATATTATTTTTAAAAATGATGTTTCAAAATAAAGTATAAGACATTTTTATGAATATTCCTATAGATTTTCCTTTCCCGATTGTTTATCATGATAAATAATCTTCATTTCCTATTTTATATAATAAATACATAATAAACAATTTGCTTGTTGTTATATCTTAACTCAATTTATAATCACCCATGCCATATTTGTGTATGATTTCAATAACCGTTTGTTCAATCAGACTTCACTATAGAATCCCTTTGCCCAATTGCTTATTAAATGATATAATATGAATTTTAATTTAATTGTTTATCCCAATTTATATATTCGCTTCTGATTAGAATATTTATTTAATTCGCTTTAATTGATTTCTCTTATCTTTGCTATATAATTCCTTGTTCTATTGTTTTTTCCAATTTGCAAAATAATTTTCTTGTCCGATAGTTCATTCTAACTCTGCTTTAAAACTTTGGTTGTTTGATTTTCTATCCCAACTATGCCTTATCTGGAAAAGGATTCTCTCAAGGTGGAGAAACCTTCCTTACTGAAGAAATTTGTACACATACACAACTATATATATTCTCCTACATTTTATCTATCCTTTATTTATTATTTTATTGTATATTTTTCTACCTTTGTAAAAATTGATTAGAAGAATCAATACATTTGTTTGAAATGTCTATACGATTGTCTATACAATTTCATTATTGAATATTTAATCCAAAAGAGATATGCTATATAATCTTATTATCGAAATGTATATTTTAACTTCATTTTAGAGATCCCAGTTCGATTGTTTATCCTACTTGACTATAACATTTTCTTGATTCCATTGTATAACCTAAAAAACTGTACATTACTGGTACAAAGCAGGATGGACAAGCACCGGTTCTATCCTCTCCAGAGAACAACAGTCTTTAATTTCCAGACTTAATGCTAGTCATCTACGGACAATGACTTTCCAGAATGGTTGCAAGGTGTCCCACTATGTACTAAGTGCAATTCTCAACCTGCAACCCCGAAACACATTATTGACTGTATTGACTCATCCATTGATGAGCTCTACTCTTTCCCAGTACACACCATCAAAAGTCTCAAGTTTTCAAGCTTGATGCCTTAATATGATTGAGTGGAGATGAAGAAGAAGAAGAAGAAGACAAAAAAAACGATAGAATTGCATTTAACGAATAGAGAGCACTAGAAAGAGTTTGGAAAACTTTAGATCCTAAATTTTTCAATTTTCTTTTCACCACATTCAATACGCTACTTCCCATCCCTCAACACCAAGCAATCGTAATTTTGGAAAAGGTTAGCATGTAGAAAGGTCTCAACATCTTCCAAATCAAGCCTACATGTGAACAATTGTCGGAAGTTACTGAGAAACTGTTTCAAAGCTACCATTGTACTATAGAAATTCCAAATAATCTCCCACCTCTACTATTGATACTGGATTTCAGACTGTTTATACAAACTCCCTACAATTCAATCTCTTTGTCTATTAATGCATTCTAACTTTGTTTCAAAATATCCTTGTTTATTTTCATTTATTTTAACTATATTATATATATATTGTTCTGAAAATAGAGCAATCCATACTTAAATCAATCGATAGTAAAAAGGCATATATTGGATTAAAAAGCCGAAATATTGGTGAATAAATCTTTTATTCAATCCAATATATGCCTTTTTACTATTTAATACTATATATATCCACTCTTTTATAATTGTTCACGCATTTTCAAATATAAATTGTAAAGTGTAGAAGAATTTATCACTGATAAAGCTCAATTACAGAAATTTATTATTCTAAAAATGTGTTAAATAAGATTAAGATTAAAGGATTTTAAAAAGGAATCATATAAATCAGGTCGGTGGACAAGTGGGTAACGCCCTCGATTCCCGACAGTCATGAAACGGGATTGAATCGCGCATTAACATTTTGTTTAATATGTGAATAACCATCACATATTATTCTTTGTTGCAAATATCATAAACTAGAATGCTCTTTTTGAGCGGTAACTAATAAAGTGATTTTGGATTTGGTTTAAAAAAGAATTTATTATCGACCAAATATATTTATTTTAACAAAGTATTTATTAATTTTATTATTTTTATTAACAGAGTGGTCATTTTTTTATGTTTATATTTTGCTACTCTGTAAATTTCCTTCGTGGCTTATTTTTGTTTACCATTCATAGTTTGTTTTTGCCTGAAATAAATTGTTGTCTCCTCCTGAAGTTTTTGTCTTCCCTAATTTTCCACGTGGCATTTTGGTGGAGATGCCGGGTAAGTTAGGGAAGACAAACTGAAGATCGCCGAGTAAACGTTGAAGTCATGGGTGCTGTGATCTACATTTTCGGAGACTGACTCCAGGATTCCACCGCCGTGCTAAAGCCAAGACTTCCCTCGAAGAAAACGATGTCCCTATAGACGATACGACGACAAAGTCGCTCTTCACGCCGCAATAAAAAGGACGCAAAGGTACAAGGGACAAAGTTCTGAGACTTCGATGGAATCCTTGACAGAAGCACGTCAGATCCATGTCAGTATCTAGATAATTGCTAGCTGTGGGTCACAGCTCCCATAGGGAAAAAGCTATGTAACATAGTTTAAATTCATAGTTTGTCCTTGCCTGAAATAAATTGTTGTCTCCTCCTGAAGTTTTTGTCTTCCCTTATTTTCCACGTGCCATTATATATATATTAACGACACAAAATATCCTCTATATAAAATATATAACTATAATTAATATATTCATAAATTCCCATCTATCGTTAAAATGTTGTACAAATAAATTTACTGGTAATATGTTTCTTTTAAATAATATCACCAAATATTATCTCTACAGACCTTACTGCAATGATATGAGTTATTGAATGAGAGGGCTTGGCTCATCAGTAGTGAACCCTCTCAGCGGTTTCGCTAAATTAATCTCTAGACCGCTCTACTATTGTATTGGATTGGTTTGAAATATACTCTGTATTTTCTATGAAAGGCAGCTTAGGGGTGTTTAGTGAACTATGGACATAAGCTTATAGGTCTGTAAAGATACATACATATAAATTCAAGGTTTTGCATCGAGAAAAACTCTTCCGCAATTATTATTGATACAATATTATTGTTTAAAGCATATATTTATTTAATTTTTAGAGATATTAAGGCCCCAAGGAGAATAATGTAATTACGAGAGGGAAAAAAAGCAATGAATCTATTTTATGCTCAAATTATTCCAGACAATATACCAAATGTGACAGAATGGGACATATACACGTTTTTCATTAGTGTTTCTTATATAAAAGGATGTTATACAAACATAATCAACAGTAAACTTTATTAACTACTAGACGAATGGCCCGGGCAACGCCCGGGTTTTACCCGAGTGCGTATATATTTTAAAAATGTTTTAATTAAAATACTATTCGTTACAATTATAAATTGGCGCCGTGGATGTCTCTCTTGTGAAACGTCCCGCCCCAAACTGTGTGTGTCTTGAAAATATAAAAATAAAAATGTGAACGGAAAAATATGTCCAGGGTAGCCTAGTGGTCATGGCATCTGCCCGGTAAGCGGAAGGTCGTGGGTTCGATTCCCATCCCTTGACACTTTTTTTATTTTATCCATTCTGACCAAAATCTATCCGTGAACTTCACACAGTGAACTTCACACAGAGAGAATAAGGCAATTATATAAGTAGATAATCCAAATTGTGCCTTATCACACACTATTTTTTTATTTGGCCTTATTACCTTGTGTTTAAAATCTATGACGTAATGCCGGCGGCGCGCGCCCGTTGGCTGCCGGCGAGCACGTGACCTCCCTGTGCGCGCGCATCCGTGACAGCGGCCGATGAGGAATTGAGGAAAGACGGTTGTGACTATATAATAATAATAATAATTATTATTATTATCATTAGATAATGATAATGATCATAATGATGATGCGCGCGCATCCGTGACAGAACCCATGACGGTCGTGACTATATATGTTGATAATATAAATGAGTTTTAAAAATTGTAAAAAAAAATGCATCGGCCGGGAATTGAACCCGGGCCGCCCGCGTGGCAGGCGAGCATTCTACCACTGAACCACCGATGCTTTAAAAAATAGCCATATTTAGGTATTCATTCCATTCCGGATTAGTCCGGGTAAAAAAAAGTTCTTCAAATGAAAAAAAGAAATAGCCAAAAATACTAATCAAAATGCAGCCGAAAATTTTCCTCAGGTTTATAAAAAGCGACATGCAAAATTTGGTACCAATTGGTTCAGTAGTTTTTGAGTTTATCGCGAAACAGACAGACAGACAGAAATTGACTTTTATATATATATAGAGATATAGAGATATAGAGATTTACTCTTCATTGTTGGCTTTTTATCTTACATTCATTCCTTATTGTTGGCTTTTTATATTACATTCACTCTTCATTGTTGGCTTTTTATCTTACATTCACTCTGTTGGCTTTTTATATTACATTTACTCTTCATTGTTGCCTTTTTATCTTACATTCACTCTTCATTGTTGGCTTTTTATATTATATTTACTCTTCATTGTTGGCTTTTTATCTTACATTCATTCTTCATTGTTGGCTTTTTATATTATATTTACTCTTCATTGTTGGCATTTTATCTTACATTCATTCTTCATTGTTGGCTTTTTATATTACATTTACTATTCATTGTTGGCTTTTTATCTTACACTAGACGCCGACCCGGGCTTCGCCCCGGGATTGACCCGTGTGCATATCAACCCGAGTGATATATATTTAGATAAGATTTTTTTTAAATAATTGTTTTTACTCGAGGGAATGTCTGTAGTCTAGTATGTTGATATAATCAATCTATCTGAATATTATGAAAGGTCAGGTAATTTTTTTGTAGGGTGATGCTCTGAAAAAGAACGCTATACCACTTTATCACTAAACAAATTGGCGAGGCAAAAATAAGCAACCTAAACAATCCATTAGCTTTGCAAGATAAAAACAGAAATAGAGAAATGCATGCAAAATTTTCAACACAAATCAAAATCTTTAATCCTCATTATTATTAGTTTTTTTTTTTTGCTTATCCCTAGTGCACGTGGTCAAGGCCATGATAAGCATGGTGGGTAGTTAGCGACTGCTTTTTACTGTAAGCGCACCACATGTCTACACATGTGAAAGCAGTTCGACTTTGCACTTACAAATGTGGCAGAGCCCCGTTTGGTTACTTGCACTCGCTGGTGGGGTTGGACTTTTGCAAGAATCGGGGGGCCATTGGAGCATTTTTTTTTTTTTTAAACAGAAAAAAGTGTCCAATGCGGGGATCGAACCCGGGTAGTAGTGGTCGTAAACCAAACGGTTTAACCAGCCTTCCACCGACCCCCCTTCCTCATCAGTAATGTATATTAGGTAGGATGAGGTTTATTTTGTTTCCATTACATTACATGGAATAGTTTTTTTTTTTCTAATAAAATTTACTGACCTCTTTGTTCACCGAAACCTAAACAATGTGTATGTTAGACCACTCTTTGTTCAACCTTACACATTGTTTAGGTCTCTTATTAGGTGCAAGATGTATACTTATGCTAAAATGGTAATTTGGGTAAACATAGGTAAATTCATGTTGGGGCAGTATTGTTCAGCAAGCCAACACAGATATAACATTACGGTATGAAGCAAGTTGTGCTAAAACTAATATTTCCAATCAAATTATCAAAAAAATAACACATACTATGTAATATAAATACATGTATGTAAAATTAACACAATAATAACCAATAATTAAAAACCATAAATTTTGCTAACACTGTATACTTCTTAAGTAAGAATACCTTACCATGAAGGGTTTAAAACCCTACACATTGAAACATGTGAAAAATGTAGCATGTGTGTATGATGGGCTTGAAGAGAAAATATTTAAAAAAGATATTTATTGAAACTTTTGTAATACCACACAAAATATGCATATTTACAGTTACAACAGTTGCAGATCTTATTAGCGCTTTAAAAGGGACAATCATATATGAGCAAAGCATCCATGTACATTAGAGGACATTAGAAACATAGTGAAAAAAATATAAAAGGTAATGAATAAATTTTTGGCTAATTGAGGAAAGAAATACCTTAAGAAAGAGCTTCTTGATAAACAATATTTTTTGTGCTGCCATTAGGTGCGAGAATAAAAAGTTTTCTGGAGGAACTGACGCGTGAGCAGGCAACATAAAGCTGGCCATGGGAAAAACATGGAACTTGAAGATCAATTCCAGCCCATTTCAATGTTTGACCTTGTGCTTTGTTAATTGTCATTGCAAAGCACAGCTTAACAGGAAATTGAAGTCTTTTAAAATGAAAGGGCAAATCTGAAGATATAATGGGAATCCTAGGAATCATAACCTTCTCACCAGTGCCGCATCCAGTCAAAATAGTCGCCTCCAGAAGATATCTGTGTAAGCTGTTAACTTGCAACCGAATACCATTACACAATTTTGGGGGATTAAGATTTCTTAACAATATAATTGGGGCGCCAACCTTTAGGGTAAGACTGTGCATAGGCATTCCAGGCGGATTGATAGAATTTAAAAATTCAATGGGGTAATGCACAGAATCATTCGGATCTACAACAGTGTCTATTGACAAATAGGTTCTTGAAGGAGCAATAAATTTACCGAGGATATATTCATTTATCTTGTCCACAGCATCATTTCTTGGCGCTAATAAAGCCCTTTCACTGAACCAAGAAAGTGGCATGGTAAGTAAAGAGCCTATATTGGGGTAAACAGATGATATTAAGGTATGGATATCTTCAACCAAGACACAAAGATCACTTGATGCAATGGAGATGAGTCCCTCGTGAGTTGCAAATGTCCCATTGCCCAGTTCAAGCAACAGCTGAGAGAAGCTGCTTCCTCTGTCGCCAAAGAGATGTGCCCGCATATTGATAGTGAGAGATAACTTAACAATACTACTCCAAATATGAGAGCGCTTAAGGCATGCATTCACCTCGTCTGCTCGAGTGCCTTTGGGAATAACCGGTAAAGTTTGCCGGAAGTCCCCAACAAAAAGAAATGTCACCCCTCCCATTATGGTGTTGCTATCCCTAAGATCTTTCAGAGTGCGATCAAGGGCCTCGATTGAGCATCTATGAGCCATTGTGCATTCATCCCATATCAATAATGAGCATTGCTGTAGAATTTTGGCAGTGGCGCTCTGTTTAGCAATGTTACAGACTGCTAATTCATCATCATAGAGATTCAAAGGTAGCTTAAATAGAGAATGTGCTGTTCTGCCGCCATCAAGGAGTGTAGCGGCGATTCCAGAAGAAGCAGCAGCACAAACTACTAAACCCTCTAAGCGCAATTTGGCTAACAAAAGATTAATAATAAAAGTTTTTCCAGTGCCACCAGGAGCATCCAAAAAAAAAATCGTGCCAGCCCTAGAGCGAACACTATTAAGAATGGCCTCATAACAATATTTCTGATCAGGATTTAAAGAAGATTCGCGGGTTGAAGCCAAAGTTTCTAGCTCACGCCTATCATATATGTCGGATAAAAATGATGCCTCTCTTGGTGGTGATACATTTTCAGGAAGAGGCAAACCCATACACGCAATACTTTTACCTGAAATTGACAGAACATGTTTTGCAATTTCCAGTAACGCGGCATTGAAAACATCAGCATTGTAATCAAGTTCAGGGATGGACATATCTCGTCGCATTCGGTGCAAAATATCTTCAGACATACACTCCTTATGAGCATGCCACAGCGTAAGTGTATCAGACATGTGGCAGAAGATGAGCATTGTAGAGAACAATGCTCTCACCGATGCTGCATTACGACATATAGATGCCTCTTTGAGAGTTTCATTCCAGTGAGAGTCGTCTTCTAGTAAGCCTAAAGCTTTGCAGGCCATTTGGAAGGTAGTGTGGATAACTCCTTCAACTGTGCGCAAACTCTGGAAAGAACATGGCCCTCTAATATGGAACAAAAGAAGTCTCAAATAGTAGCATTCAGCATTAGTTGGGTGAACTGTATAGACGCGGCCAAGAACATCACTTTTCCGCACACCAGGATATCCTTCTACAGGAGTACCCTGCTTTCTGCCTAAAAATTTATTGTTGGTCCAGGTATAGAAAGAAGGAACTTCACAGTATAATAGTGTCCTAGCAAATGTGTCTTGGTTACAAAGTTTAAAAATGCTGTCAGAGTTGTATCTCTTGGATTTGAAATAACATTTTCTGCATTTGCAGTAGTGAAATAGACCCTCTGTCCATTTTCAAGGTGAACAGCTAAGTGTACAATAGGAGGTGATCTTTAATGGATGCTGAAACCCAGAATCCTCCAAACAGCCTCTGCGGAACTTATATAGCGGCCAGACTGAAATTGGGTAACCTCATCAAGGTGATTCAAAGAGAAAACTGCCTGATCAGTTCCCTTATTAATGTATTTGCACACGTATTTGATGGCCTTTACGGAGCTGCAGTATTCCACATTTATATGGGAATCAAAAGCACGAAGGAGAACAGAATTATAGGGCACAATCCAGCGATTGTCAATATCAAAAGTAACTCCTCGCATATTCACCGATGAAGTAAGACCACCTTCAGCAGAGCACCGTCTTCGGTATCGGGGATAACCATCTTCTGTTGTCGAAGTTGTCTCACAAAAACCTTTAGGATATTTTTTGCTACATTTCCCATCCTTCATACATGGAGAATTTGTATTCAGAACCCCACATGGACCTTGAACCATTTGTTTAATGACAATTGCATGAAGCTCTGGGTCTAAGTTAATATCCGGAATCTCGGCTTGTATGACCTCATCAATTTGATTAGGTCTAATCATGCTCGTGAGCCAAAGCAGTAAATGCGCATGTGGCAGACCACGCTTCTGCCACTCTATTGTGAACATAAAACACTTGCAAGGCCCAAATAGCTCAGCCTTAGTCACTAAATAGATAAGCTTTTTCATTTTAAGGTGAAAAACACGACTAATCAAATCATATCTATCTTTAGCAGAGTTATTTGAAAATAAATGCATCTGAATTTCTTTCCATTGAGGGTTGCATGTAAATGTTATAAAAAGCTGAGGCCTTCCATAGCTACGAACATAAGTCATTGCATCTTGGGTCCGCTCATGCAGATAACAGGGACCACCAGTAAACGATGATGGCAGTATGACTATTTGGCCTATATTGGCTAAATTCTCATCTGCTCGCAGAGCATCTTGCAGGTGAATATAATTTTCTGTCCGAAGCTTTTTCTGATTGCGCCGTATGAAGGAAAGCCTTTCTGATTCAACCTTAGCATACATATCAACCCAGAATTGATTTGTAATCATGCCATAACGCAGTAGCGAGTTAAATTCCCCAGCACGAGCCATCATTCTGTAAGCATAAAAATTCATGCACGATACAGTCTTCTGCATTATTTCTCTAGTGGATGGATTGACTTGAGGTAGCGAAACAGAATAACCGACCTCACCCCTGCAAAAAATTAACGGGTATTGTAGAGGGTCATATGCTTGATGGATCTCGGATATTCTTTGTGTCAAATTATTACGACAATGTAATACAATATCTCTTGGCCCAAATTCCTGACCTACCATCAGCAGAGCTACTTCATTGGTCGTGGGCGCATTGTAGCGACGCTCATGCTCTTCTGGTGGAAGCTTATCAGAGTGTATAATAACCCGGTAGTCAGCGTGATTTTGAGGAAGAGTTTCTAAGGCTGCTTTAAAGGATTGAATATAATGATTGTGCGCATGCAATAAATCTTGCAAAGAGCGAACTAAATCTCTGTTCAAGTTTGCTGTAATGTTGCAACGTGCAGTAACCTGAGACTCATAATTATCGATAAAGTATATCTGCAGGAATTTGTGCTCACTATCAGGTTCTGGAAGGAGACTACCAATTACGTGGTAAACCTGGCCTTGGACTTTGAAAGTAGGCATATAACCTTGCTCCACAACTTGTCTAGCACCAAAAGATGTCATTTGGAATATAGAGTTATATCTACGGATATGCAGCAAGAAGGACTTCGATAGAGGATGTAGGCCAGAGAGCAAAGAGAAAATAGGTTCTGGAGGGGACTCAATAGCAGGTAGAGAAACTCTACCTTGTTTACAACAGAGGCCTAAGGGTTCATCTTTAAATCTCAAAGCAGAGCAAAACTGGCATACCCGAGACATTTGGCCTATATCGACAGATGAATCAGCTTTATAATCAATATGGGCATTATACTGCAAACCTGAAAACGGCTTATGAGTCCAAAGATGAATACGCTGAACAGGAACTTGCATAGTTTGTGTAGCCTCGACGCGGGCTTCAGAAGACCTAAGACGGCGAAGCTCACGACGCGTCTCACGTTGAAGTGGTGTCTCAAGAGCTCTAGCATTCCTATATCTCCTGGAAGCAGCCGTATTCCTACCAATTAAAGGTCGGCGGCGGGGAGGCATATTCTGAAAAAAAAAAAAAGATTGAGATTAAGAACAAAAGCTTAAAAACCAGCAATTTATAAACAAAGCATAAAAATTTCCTGTCTTTTTGAGGTAAAAAGCAAAATTCTTAAATTTCTTCTTCAAAATAACCTTCCAGATATGTTAAAAAGATTATAAAAAACTAAAAGCATAATATTAAAAATAAAAAAATAATGTACAAAACCAGTTATCACTAAAAAGCCTCAAAAATAGACCAACCGCCGGACACGGCAATGAAAAAGCATGTTTTTTTGAGGAAAAAATAGAAAAATTCTCTAAAATACAAAATACAACCCCTATATGGTAAAAAAAACTACAAATAATCTAAATATAAAATACATAATCAAATAAATTAAAATATCTTTAATAAAATTTAGAAAAAGGACCTCAAAAAGACAAATAAATGAATCCGTTAAAGAAATCCCTCGCTTACTTAAAAATATAAATAATCTATTTTTTAGATACAACCCATATATGTAGAAAATATAATAAATAAACTGTATCTAAAAGATAAAAGGAATAATGAAAAAATTCCATAAGAAAATTTAAAAAAGGACTTCAAAATGACCCATATTTGAACATACCAATAAAATATCTTGCATCTTAGTGAAAAAAAAATAGAAATAATCCAAAAGTTGTTTACAAAACAACCCATATATGCTGAAAACACCATAATCTACTTCTAAAATATCTAAGCAATTAATTAAAATGAAATTTCAAGCTTTTTAGTGAAAAAAAAGAAAAATAACCCAAATTTTTTGCACAAAAAAACCCATATAAGTGGAAAACACCATAATCTGTAACTAAAATATCAAAACAATTAATTAAAAAGTTTGTTAAGGTCCTCAAAAAAGACATAAAATTGAGCACATGCATGAAATTTCTAGCTTCTTAGTGAAAAAAAGAGGTCCTCAAAAAAGACATAAAATCGAGAACATGAATGAAATGTCTAGCTTTTTAGTGAAAAAAATAGAAATAACCCTAAATTCGTAAAAAATAATATAAAATACCTTAGTCTTATAAAAATATTAACACGTAATAAAATAAAAAAGAAACTTGATCTCATTAAGTAAGGCCTCAACTTTTTTCGGTATAAAATATGAAAACTATAAAATAAAAGTATCTTACCAAGTATAAAAGTTATTATTAAAATTAAAATATATATATATATAAAAGATAGAACTAATTTAGCCAGAAGCGGAAAGTAAACACTTTTGAAAGTGTTGTATCCGCTGTCGAAAGTAAATACTTTTACTCTGTTGAATTTTTATTGTATTTTATCGACAACAGCAAAGTTATGTATTTTAAAGTTATGAAAAATATTTTGATGTTAAGCAAAACCTGCTCCATCTCGTTTTACATAAATGTTGAAAATTTGGTCGAAATTGATGCATTGTAACGAAAGTTTGTAGTGATGTACTCTTATGAAATTTGCATTTTATTAATATAGATTCACCATTATTATATTATTCGTTTTGAGAGATAATATTTAATATGAAGAAAAATAGCTAAATATAATGGGTGAGATAAGTTGATATCATTAGTTTTGAGGTGAAAATTATGAATTAATCAATAAATACTAAAATTGTTCAACAAGATCGGCTTTTGACACGTCATAAGCTTGTCCAAAAAATTAAAAAACAACTGGGGTAACGCACCAGATATTATTCAATCAAAATGAAGAAAAGTTATCTAAAAAGTGAATATATATAAATTTATATATATTTATAGTTATATCTATAATATATGAAAGATAATTGATAGTTAAAAAGTATTGAGTAAATGAGTATTGATAGTTAAAAAGAAATTATATAAATATTATTTTTGAGGTTTAAAAAATGTTTTGTATTTTATGTAACAAATTAGGGATATAGTTACATAAAATAAAAAACCTTTTTGAAACCTTAAAAATAATATTTATATAATTTATTTTTAACTATCAATATTCCTTCTCTAATACCAACTATCTTTCATATAAAATATATTTAACTCTACATTATTGTTCAGTACGAGCTTGCTCTACTGACATTATACCTTAAATTCGAAATCTAATTATTCTATAACTTTCTTTAAATTTATATATATATATATACTTTAAAAAAACGAAATAAAAAAAAAAGATAAAAAGATCAGGTGTTGAAATCAATATTAAAAATGGCATATCCTGACCAGGAGCACATGTGCTTTACAGAAGGCAGAGCGCCATCTGGTGGAACAGACTAAACATTGATTTAGCCTGTTCCCTAATATTTGGCCAACCCAATTTCTTGATAAATCAAGAAAAGCCATCCACGTACGCGTTTCGCGCTTTTGATTTCTGTTCCACCAGATGGCGCTCTGCCTTCTGTAAAGCACATGTGCTCCTGGTCAGGATATGCCATTTTTAATATATATACATATAAATGTTGCGGCGACGGTCAATAGATGGCGTCTGGTTTTAGACGTCTATTTTGACGGGAGAGGCGATCCTTGTCTCTTTATATCAATTTTCTCCCTGCAAATTTCCATCTATATATCAGACATAGATATGGCCCAGCCACTTTGCCAGCTAAACTCCTCTTTGGCGGATTGTCAAGATTCCATTAGATCCCGTGTGGATCTCATGGAATAAAGTCCGCCCTAGACTGACGAGGGCCATTAGCCCGAAACCATGGTCTCTAGGTGGACGCTTTCAGTTTGCCAAAGCTGGTGTTGTTGCTTTGTCACCGACCCGAGGCCGCTAATTGCGGCGACGGTCAATAGATGGCGTCTGGTTTTAGACGTCTATTTTGACGGGAGAGGCGAACCTTGTTTCTTTAGATCAATTTTCTCCCGGCAAAATTCCATCTATATATCAATTATATAATCTAAAATGCAATTATTTTATATTTTAAAAACATATTTTATTTTCATTCATTGACTGTTCTACATTTTTTGACCATAGATTTAGAAGATACCACTTTGATAATTGTTGTAAATGTAATAGTTAACCCTACCTTTTTTTAAAACCACGATTATAGAATTGATTTTATAAATTCAATATTACTGTGAAAAATAACTTTATGTTTAATTTACTTCAAGTAATTAAAAATAAAAACTACTTGATGTGTGTGTGGGCGAATAATTTATTTCCTATTTTTCACGACTGCACCTTCGGTTCTCTGTCTTTTTCAACATCAAAACAATATTATTCGTCTATATATATTCAGCATATTTATAAATAATTTATAAAGATAATTATTAGACTGATTGATGATTCCATGTTTGAAATGTAAAATAAATTTGTTGAAAAAATCGATTCGTTGAAACCTAATAGCACCTTAATGTGTATAAAAGAGGAAAAACGTAGAAAGGCAAAAATATTTGAAGACATTTGGAATCGTCTTTAAGGAAGAATTTCCCCAAATCGTTATCGCTTTCCGGATCAAAGTGGAGGAGTCATTACAATGATGCTTAGCCTCCTAAATGGCCTTTAGCTTTGATGGACCTCTTAAATATTTACACTTTTCACAGAAATATGTTTCTTTTCTCTCATTTTTTGTCTTTTTATTACTCTACCCCCTTCTTTAATATCATCTATAATTACTGCTACCATATGATGAACCTAATAGCCTATTTGCAAATTTTAAAATTATCCAATATCTCTGAGGAGATTTGTAGGTTTGAAGTAATGGACGCGGTCTAATACCGCCATGTGAGGGAGGTACTCTCCGAGACACTCTCGACAGAAAACAAGATCATTCTGTGCAATTTCCTCAACATGGCAATTGAAGATGTTGGGAACAAAGACTCATTTATAACCAAATGGCCAATCTGAATCCAGGGTGTCTTGTAGCCCTCGATTTAAACCAATGAAGACTGCATAGATTTAATTATGTATATTCATCCTTATTATTATTATTTTCATATTTACTTATTTTTATTATTTAGTTTTCATTTTTTACTATATTTTATGAACGAGGTAATAAAATAGTTTCAGTTCAGTCTCTCTCTCTCATGGGCCACATGTTAAACCTCAATAGCAAGCTGGAACAAGCTACCTGGAAGCTAAAAGGCTATGTCCTGGAGACCCCACCACGCTGGACAATCTGCACAAACTGCGCTGTTTAGTCAGCAACCGCAGATGACAACCATTTCTTCTAACTCTTCCAATTGGACAACATCTATCTTTCTTTTTTTAAAACCACCTATCTTCCTTTCTCGGAATCGATGAGAGGAGATAGAAGATGCTGTTCTGTTCCCCTTCTAACAGGGAGGACATCCTCGAGTACCTGTCGCCTGAGAAGAGGTCTGCTTTGAAGCTATTCCTCGAAATGGCAATAGCACATGTCGGGGAGATGTCCGATCTACGCGGAACGCTGTCCGACTTCAGGGAGGAATGGGACATCATACCAGACGACTCTCAGTGGGATTCGTCTGATGAAAATAATATTCAAGTTTAATATTTTTAAAAATATATACTAACCCTATATAATTTTATATGTACGATCAATAAATATGTTTCAATCTCTCTCTCTCTCTCTATCTTTTTTTCTCTGAATACGACATTGAGATTGAGATTGCTTAATTTCAAAGTCCATATAAGATTATATAAGATTAAATACAGAATAAATATAAATATGAATATATAATAATAAATATATGAATGAATAGATATAAATATATAAAACAATTATATATAAATTTCTACATTGAACGAGACGACAACCAGTGGGATTCGCCTGATAGAAATAATTTGTAATTGTAATTTGTTTGAATGCCTTTTTTACCTCTTTATTAACCCCATATAATATGTATGATTAATAGAGGTATATTTAATTTCACTCTCTTTATATATAAAATAAAAGGATTTAAAAGCGCGAATGTTTCTTTTATACATAAAAGGAACTTCTACTGTCCTTACTGCGATGAAAAAATATATTGGGAGGGCTTGGGTCATCAGTGGTGAACCCTCCCAGCGGTTTCGCCAATTTAATCCACCAGACCGCTTCTCAGAGCTCTAATACTGTATTGGATCATTCTGCTTTTATATGCTACACTGAAGGATGGAATCTTAGAAATGGTTTTCAAGTAAACTATGGACATAAGCTTATAGGACAGTAGAATTATATTCAAATATTTGATTCGAGCAATGCTATTCAGCAAACTATAAAGACAAGGCCAGTTAGGAATAAATTAACACTAAGCAATAACGCGCCATCTATACATATAAAATAAAAGGATTTAAAAGCGCGAATGTTTCTTTTATACATAAAACGAACTTCTACTGTCCTTACTGCGATGAAAAAATATATTGGGAGGGCTTGGCTCATCAGTGGTGAACCCTCCCAGCGGTTTCGCCAATTTAATCCACCAGACCGCTTCTCAAAGCTCTAATACTGTATTGGATCATTCTGCTTTTATATGCTACACTGAAGGATGGAATCTTAGAAATGGGTTTCAAGTAAATTATGGACATAAGCTTATAGGACAGTAGAATTACATTCAAATATTTGCTTCGAGCAATGCTCTTCGGCAAACTATAAAGACAAGGCCAGTTAGTAATAAATTAACACAAAGCAATAACGCGCCATCTATACATATAAAATAAAAGGATTTAAAAGCGCGAATATTTCTTTTATTCATAAAACAAACTTCTACTGTCTTTACTGCGATGAAAAAAATATATTGGGAGGGCTTGGCTCATCAGTGGTGAACCCTCCCAGCGGTTTCGCCAATTTAATCCACCAGAAGGCTTCTCAGAGCTCTAATACTGTATTGGATCATTCTGCTTTTTATATGCTACAATGAAGGATGGAATCTTAGAAATGGGTTTCAAGTAAATTATGGACATAAGCTTATTTCTTTGCAGTAAGGACAGTAAAAGTTCGTTTTAAAAAAACCTAAATGCCCAGCTGTAGGAGCGTCATGTATTTCCGCCATAACTTCCGATCTTAAGTGCTTAGGCATCATCATAAGCCAGGGTCTTCCAGTTTCGCTATAGTTTTTCTTGTATAAGATGCCGTCGATAATGCTGAATTCCTTTCTGTTGTAGCCCGAGTTTAAATTATCGATTATTTTAGCTAAATCTGGGTCTTTAGGCTGCTCTATATCGACGTTGGTTAGTGGCATCACAGTACTTGGTTGATCGTTCTCAAGCGGGCTCCTTGACATACAATCGGCATCCTTATGTTTGCGTCCGCTCTTGTAGATAACAGTCACGTCAAATTCTTGCAACTTCAGCGCCCATCTTGCCAAACGATCAGAAGGATCTTTCTGCCCTACCAACCAACCATCCAGTCAGTGACAACCCTGAATGGTCGACGAAACAAATATGGCGGAATTTGCTAATAGACCAGACTACAGCAAGACATTCTTTTTCTGTTGTAGAATAGTTATTTTCAGCCTTTGTCAAGTTTCTAGATGCATAAGCTATAGGCCGCTCCTTTCCACCTTGTATTTGTAGAAGAA